AATCATTCTTAAAAGACTAAAATCGGTCTTCACTGTTGGTGGTTTTATACAATATTTTAGGGTTTGTTTGATAACCAACAAATATTACCATTTTTATGAGAAAATAACATATTACATATTTTCTCCGTTTGCCACCATTTTCTAACACAATTATAGAGGATGGTAAATTTTGTTAAGCCCATTTGCCTGACAGTGCAACATACTTTTTTTTTTTGGTCCCGGTTATCAAACAGGCCCCTGACCTCGTTTTGTTTTCTCCATACTTTTTCCCGCTACAATGGAACCCGAAAGCAAAATGGAGACCTTCGATCCGGTAAGTCTAAATTTCTTGGAAATTTTATCTCTCTCTCATTTAATCGAACTGTTGTTCATTGTTGGAACTTGGAACTCTTATTTATTCATGTATTAGGATCTAATTCACGCCATTTTCAAGCTTGTTTGGAGCAAAAAAGCCCTAGGTTTGATTCTTACCTTTAACAATTTAGGTATCTTAATCACTTCCTTAACTTACATTATATGTTCTTTCTTTGTTTTTTGCAGAGCGAGAGAGAATTGGAGGACTTGAGAATTTGAACAACGAGGTAGCGTTTTGTGTTCTTTGAAGCTACTCCATTTCATTGTAACGTATTTTCTTATCTACTAAGATCTCATTTGGTAGTCTATTTGATTGTGACATGTATTTGTGTCGATTTGGAGTGAATTTATGCAATAAGTTTTTGAAGAATGGTTGGTTTGCTTAGTCAGAATTTTGAAATGTAGGGATTCTCTAATTGGGATATTTTTTATTTGAAGTACGGTAGCCTTTTTAGTCTGGGAGATAGATGTTGCACTGTCCTCAGAACTACTTTTTGAAAAGAATTTTTTGGAGAATGGATCGTCTGGTTGGTTTGAAGTTTGAATTCTGTAATGTAGGTTTGGGTCATAATACCAAATAAATACAACTTTGGTACTTGTAGGATAAAAGCTTAAAGCTATTGTACTGGTGATTATTTCCTTAATTCTTTGAAAATATGATTAGAGGAGAGAAGAAGGCTTTTCTCCCACTTTTATGCATGAATCCAACTCGTTTTGGCACAATATCTCACAATGGGAATTGTCGGGAGTCATGCTAACGTGTACAGTACCTGACACAAAAAACTATAATATTTCTGTCTCATGTGGGACTGCATTACTTTGTTAAACATTGGTGTTATGTAGGATCATGAAGGTTTCCAAATTAGGGAAAGGCGTATCTGCAAACCAAATTTATGTGTTTTTGCAAAAGGGATGAGTAGGACAACACCCACTTATTCTCCCAATTCTCGGAATTATGAAACAATTATTCATCTTCCTGTAGACATTTGGGCACTCCTGGAATGGATCAGCTGTTTTGCCGTGTTCCATTATGCGCCTTCTTTCCCACACCTTTATGTAGGAGAAAATGCTAACTTGAACACACTTTTGTTGCAATTCTTACGGAAGGAGAAAAAGTGGTGGATTCTTCATAGAGCTGAGCTGCTGATCAATTTGTGTAAAGGATTTGTTTTGAATTTCAGATATGAGAAGCTTCGTAACTAGTTGCAGAGCTATGATTCTTGCTTTAGCGTTTCACAAATGAGTTACATTGTGTTATCTGTTCACCTTGTATTTCTGTCTTTCCTAAATTACACTTTTTTAAGTTTTCTCTGGGTTAGTGCTTCACAAAAAGTTATATTTGTTACTTTAAACTTTAAAGGGTCTCCAGTTATATAAAGTTGGATTGAGAAAAGGAAGGCCAACTCTGCAGTTCAGTTCTGGGGTCGTCTCACCTCCTTATGGACTTATGGTGGACATATTCTTTTTATGAGGAGGTGTGAAGCTATCTTGCTAACTAGTTGCATGTTGGGATGGGATAGCTCATGTGTAGAAGCTCAATTATGGCTGTCTTACCTGCTGTTTTTTTTTTTTATCTGTATGTGAAAATGCTAGAAATTCCATAGTTGTCAAAGATAAGAGGTGGTGGTGCAGGCAGTTGTTCTCACTTTATATCTACGTGTGCTTTTAGACAGCTAGTGAAGTTGAAAATAGAGGCTACTCTTTCAAGTTACTAGTCTTCTAACGTGACGGAGTAGTGAATTATTGATAGAGATATAAATCTGAGTTTTTGAACTTGATGCTTAAATGTATTTTTCTGAATATTTTCTTTGCTCTTTGATGTTTATTTGGTGAGTTTCTCCCTCACCACTTTCCCTTATAACCTTTTATACTAATGTACTTCATATATACTAGTATAAAGAAGTCAACGGAAAACTAAAACGATTGGATGTGAAAGTGGTAGATCTCCTTATTATGAATATATTACCTTTTGCTTGGTTATCAGGTTTTCCTCTCCATATACCAATAACAAAGATTTTTCTTATTCTCCTCTGTTGTTATTCTTGCAGGTTGAACCTTCAACATCAAAGAAAAATCGGCCAACTTCCGGTAATTGAACTATAGTTAGAATATGTTTTGTTAGTAGTGATGGATAATTGACAACCGTAGGAGGTCCTTTTAGAGGGTGGGAACAAAAACAAGTGTCAGTCCATTTTCTCTTTTCTCTCATCGCCCTCTCTTTTCTTCTCTCCAAAGTCTGAACTCTTCTCTCTCCTTCGTCCCTTCTGGGGAACTGTTTTTTGAAGTAAACCAAAAGTTGGTCTTCACCATGAGCAGTACAGCAGTACTATAAGGACTTAGCTCTAGGTATATTGACATTATAGTGAATGTTTATATTATCTTGTTATGAGTTGGAACTTGGAAGGGTTGTTTTAATTCTGATTTGTTCTTTAACTTCTAGAGTAAATATAATAGTAATTAGTAAGGGTACCCCTTTTCATGTGTTTCCGTACATTGTAGTACTTGTGACAATTATAAATACAGTGAATACTATTTCTCACTGCATATTGATCTGTAAAAGTATGCTATTAGAAGATAAATAAAATCAAAAGAATCAAATTACTAATACAAATGCGCTGGCATTTTTACAACATTTAAATTACTATATAAGTATATAGTATATACAATACTTTCTTGGAAATATTAATAATGGTAGGATGTTTTTGTGCAACTAAATCATTATTTCTAGTTTATTAAACCATGAGTATTGTGTGCCTTAATGGTGAAAATCGTTCTGGATCATCAGCAGAAGGGTCATATGCCACTACTTAATGGTTCTACATGTTCTTCTAAATCACATATCATTCCCTGTGGAAGTTGAATTCTCATTTTATATTGTCCCATAGTGCATCTCGTCATGTTCCCATTGCTATTGACACAAATGTATGTTAATGCTGCTATCAAACTACTCAAATGCACATGGTCTTTATTTTAATATCAGAGTTTATGGAGTTCATTAATCTTTTCTTGCATAATATATTGAACTCCGGTTCAAAGCATCTCTTAGACATTGCTTATCACAGCAATTATCTTTTTGCAGTCATAACTTATCTCTATTTCTTGATGCAGCTAATTCCAATGCTCTAAAGTTAAGCTGTGAACTTCTCAGAACCTTTGTAGTAGGTCAGCATTCTTCTTATTGAACTTACCTATATTTCAATTTTGGGATTAGTGGTAGTATTATGTGAATTGTTATGTTCAGTATGCCCACAATGTTCTCTTCCTCGTGGCTTAGAGGCGGTGGAGCGTGCTGCAGCAATTGCTGAAGCTGAAGGTGTTCATAAAATAGAAGCAACTCATTTGGAGAGGATACTTCCACAACTGCTTCTGGACTTTTAAATTACTTGAAGAGATCATATGACATTTTTCCAGAAGATGTTCAACAATCCGGGTTTACATACACTGATTAAATTGATTAAGAGCATCGTTCTGCTAAAATTTCTGACTTTTTTTTTGGTAGCTTTGCATTGATACAACTTTTTGAATATATTCACAGAATCAGATAGAATCAACTGTTTGGATGTAAGTTCACTGGGCAAGACTTAATACTTAATGCATGGTGGCTTTACCCTTATGTAAGAAGTTTGAACACCTACTGCATATAGAAATCAAAATGTCATTGTTGGAAGGTCTTAACCATAGATTAAACAAATGTTTGCCCTAGTTTTTTTTTTTTTTGTTCAATCAGATCTGCTATTCTTGTTTTAAGAAGTTTTATTTAATAAAACTGATTGTTGATAGCATGATTCATACTCTAGTGAACATTAAAAAGAACTGAAACTGTTGAACTCTGAGAAGCATCATGGTCTTCATTGTAACTAATAGTCTAATACCAATCCTCATTGGTGATAAGATAGTCATTTAGTCAGTAATGTTTGTTTAAACTTTAAACCTGATGGCTATTTGTGTTGCATTATTTGCGATTTACTTGTCTCTGCAGTCTGCATAGAAAATGTTCACCTTCACTTGTCTCTGCAGTCTGCAATTTACTATTTAGGTAGGTTTCATGTACTGTAGTCTAGGCGAAAAATGACTCCAAAGTCTGAAACTAAAAACCTGGACTTCGAGCAACTTGGGCTAAATCGTGCTCACTATCTCAGTGGGCCGTCAATTTTCAAGGCCTAAAATGAGGCCCATGTGTGGTTTGTGTTCTGTGTTAAAACAACTCTATAAAAGCCTTCTATCCTCAGCTGCAAATGACAAATCAAGATGGTGCATTAGGGTTTTCTAGTTCAAAAAACCTCTTTCTTCTTCATCTTCTCATACTAGCGGCGGCGAAGTAGTACTAGTTTTTGCATCTCTGTAAATCTTTCTTTGATTTAGTTTTTGCTTTAAGATGGATTTGATTTTGTTATATCTATGTATATCGCTTTTGATAGGCGTTCCGTTTGTTTCGAATTTTAATTGAAACGAACGGGTCAACGAAAGCGTAAATAAACAAAAAGAGATTTTGTATTTCTTTGTTCAAAGCTCATGATTCTTTATCATGTCTTCATCTATGATGACGATGAACTACTAAGCATATTTCTGAATTGCTAGTAGTTGTTAATAGGTCTTGCTTTGTGACATTTTTTTAAATGTTTTGTTAATAGATCTTAATTGAGAATGTTGCTTCATAATGGTGAACTTCTTCAATCATAGTGAAGAATGTTTCAAGTTTCCGGAGCATAGATTAATATAATTTTATTATTTATAACCAGGATTAAACAGCATTGTGTTTTTATTCTAAATTGCACCTTGTTACCTGTCTCCTGGTACATTAAAATTTTATTCTGAATTTCTGATTTATTTTTTTAATCTCAATCTCTTAAACACTATGGTTCCTAAATTCTTATTCCAGTGGCATACTTAATTAGTTTTTGTTAAGTATCCAATCAAGAAATTGTATGTTTAGACCAATTTAAATTATTTATTGTGTGAGTTATACAGTGGGTGAAGAGGTTGAAGCAGCAATGTTCAAAGAGTTAAATCAATATACTTAATTGGATACCAAATTTGAGCCTGTAAAATATTACTGTTGTTATAAATTTAGATTTGATTTACTGATTTAGGGTGTGACAGAACGCTATATGAGTAACTTTTGAAAATTAGAGTACTAGCAATTTTGAAAACTATATAAGAGTAATTTATCTCAATGCATATGAGTAGCTTTTGTGCTGTAAATGAGTAAACCAAAAATAGAAGGGTTATTATATCAGTCTATTGATGTCGGACCAGCTTCTATTGCTAGCTTGACCCCTTCAAAGGACATAAATTTTGGGCCGATTCATTTTACAAGAAAGTCCTAAACGAACAAAATTTAGTTTAATTTTGAATTAAGATCAAATATTTATTTTGGGCGAATTTGTCTAAACCACACTAGAACATATGCCAATTTGTATAAACCCTACCAAAACCAAAAAATTTGAGATTACACTACTCTGTTATCTCATCTGTTGGCAACCAGTTTGGTGACTAGGAGAGAGAAACGTAGAGATAATTTAAGTTTTTTATTACCTATTCTAACCCTGTTCATTTTACCCAATTGAAAACCCAAATTCGAAAATTGAACCCATTTCTTTTGTGTTCTCGTCTCTTAGTTTCTTTTTACCATTTTTCTCTCTCAGGATGCCTTACACAAGAGAAAGAAAAGTAAACTACCCAATTTGATTCAAAGATTGTTATACCCACATATGATTAGTGTTCTTGGGGTTCATCAAATCAATTTGATGTATACTTCATTGAAAAAAATAATGAGTTTAATTTGTTTAAACTAATCTAATTTTAGTTGTTCTTCATCAGAAGTTCTTTCATGTTTCTTCTTAATCTATGTATGATTAAGTTGTATAGAACAAAACCCTTGTCATAATTAAGAATTCTGATTGAAGCTGCCATGGAAGGAGGGAAAGGAGAAAGAGTTGTGCATAGAGCTTTATCAGAGAAAAATTGGTTTCAATGTAATAGTTTTCTCTTTCAAAATGTGTTAATCAGAAGTCTCTGATTTGGCTGTTGTTGAAAAGTACAAGAAGAAGCTTTTGTTCAAGAGGGGATCACAGTCTGAATCTTGATTGATCTCACTGATTTTTCCACGTGTAAGGGGTAAAACAGGTATTAAAATTAATCTATTTCTCTGTCCTAGTCAGCAAACAGAGACAGTAACAGAAGATCTAACGGAGTGTGGTTATCTCAAATTTTTTTGTTTTGGTAGGGTTTGTACAAATTAGCAAATGTTCGAGTGTGGTTTTAACAAATTCGCCCATTTGTTTTTACATTATATAACTGGATTACAACGTGAAGGCTTAATTTGTATTTTATATGGGCCACAATTTAAAAGCCCATTATTTGTTGGATTAGTAACACCTTTTTGAACAGGTGAACTTATATAAAAAACCTGTGTTTCAATTATGCTATCAAACTTAGGCCTGTGAGATGGGCCGGGTTAGAGCCAGTCCGGCTACGAACAATTAAGCCCTATAGTCTTAAGGGTTGGACACTTGGACCAACCTTATCCTTCCTATTTGTGAGGGCCGGAATAGGGTTGGGCAAAGTGGCAAACACTTAAACTCTAGACTCTAGAGAATCAGTAGACATCGTGTGTGCATCAGCTTACGGACTACTTCAGCACATATAACTTGTGCTAGAAGTTGAAAGATATTCTTTGCATTTTTTCTGAAATTGTCAGTATGTATTAGGAAGGTGCAAGGTTGACTAGAGAGTGGAAGAAGTCAGACAATTTTTTTCTCGTTTCGAATCTGTAACAATCATGATGATGACTTGGGATATCGATTCACACTCTTGGGTCATTGTTTGGTCTTGTCAGTTGCCATCAAACCTTTCAAACACCAAGACCACAAGAAGGGTTAACATGAGACCCTACTCCTGAGTGGACTTCTGACTTCAGATTCTAAAGACTTGATGACTTTGAATGTTTTCATGGCTAAGTTAATACTCTTGCTGACTTGTGACTTCATACACTGACTTTGTTGGCATGAGATTGACAGTGGTAATTGGTAACTAGCAACTCAGTTAAAAAAAAAAAATCTTTCATCTTGCAGTTTCTCTTCAGTTTCATCTTTAGCATTCCTAGTTTTATTAATAAGATTTTTTCAGGTAGAAAGTGACATACACTATTACAGACTACAGATGATACTCGTACTTTCAGGAGGCTTTCAGGGTATATACATTTAATTTAGGGTACAAGAGAAAGAGAGAGAGAATAAGAAGAAGATCATAGAAGAGCCATGTGAAATAATGGAAAATTTGTTTTCGATCGAAGATGTAACCACTTGGTTGTATACTTTGCACTTAGGGTTTGTTTGATAAATTCTCCATTTTCCACCTTTGACCGACATTTGCCCCTTCTTTGATAACACAAATCCAGCCATGGAAAAATATGTTATTTTCCATGTCATGATAAACTTTTCCATACCTTGAAGGGGAAAATAGTTCCATGGGGGGAGGTAGGAAAATGTTTCCACCTCTTTTCCATGTCTGATTATTTACCATGGAACCATTCACCCATCGACTTTCTTTAGAAACACAATTTAACTTTTGTTTGGACAATGCTACTTTTCCATAACATGATAGTTGATACACCGGAGGTGAAGGTTTTATGCTGATGAACTTATTTAGGCGCCCTTTCACCTTTAGCGTAAAAAGAAGACTTTTGGGTGTGGTATGCCCTTTCACCTTTAGCGTAAAAAGAAGACTTTCGGGTGTGGTATGCCCTTTCACCATGGCCTGATTTTATGTAGTTTCGTAAATTGATTCTGACAAGTTAAGCAGCTCTATTGTTACAATGGACTGAATGGAGAGAAGAATCTATGATTGGCTTTTC